AAATCCTGGATATTATGGACAATGGTAAGCACCCTCTGCACACTGTTATCAGCAACCAGAGAAGCCAGTTCAGTGAACGGCTGCTTCTTCCAAAATTTTAATTAAATTTAACCTTTATTTAACCAGGTAGATCTCATTGAGATTAAAAATCTCTTTTTCAAGAGAGACCTGGCCAAGAACGGCAGCAGCACACAGACAATGCAAAATTCAAAACTACAGATATTAAACTACATTAAAATACTTCACGATAAATAAAAGAAAAACAAGAAACACTCATAAAAGGTAAGATAGAACTAAAATAGAGTATGAAATCAGTTAAAACATTTACAAACAAATGTCTTAAGTGCAAACTGATTAAGAATGGCCCTAAAACATTAAAAGAGACCAACTCCCTCAACATCAAGTCTTTCTGCAGTAGATTCAGGCTGAGGGAGCAGMAAAGTCCATCTGCGCTCCCTTGATAACACTGACACCTTTAAAAATCAACTAAAAACACATTTATTCACTCAAGCATTTAACTGAAGGTATCCTGCCTACCGCAACATAAACCCTGAACCTAAATTTCCATGACTGCAAAACACGTATTTTACTTTGGACTGGTATCCATTCATTTACATTTTTTATGCCACAACCATCAACTCCAGTTAGTTACAGGCAAGCCTATCGATTGTATATACCTCAATTACTTTTTTCTCTATCATTGTTATTCCATGACCCCTACTATTCCAAAAATTTGAGAACGTACTGACCGGAATTTCATCATTTGTAAAGTAGTTGTCAAGTATTTCTGTTTTACTGTTTTTGTTCGATTATTGTACAGCACCTTCTGCCTATCAACTCTTTCTATATTATTGATTATTGTACAGCACCTTGTGAATTCCATTTCTGTGAAAGGCGCTTTATAAATAAAATTTTACTTACTTACTTACTTACAAAGTGGAAGGAGCTTTTGCCATAATCACTGTGAACCTTAGAAACTGTTAATAAAATGAACTCATCTGAGTGCAGAAAATGACTTCCCGTGTTTTTCTTGTGGAGATATGTATAAGACAGGAGGTAAGGGGGAAGTAAACCCATGCAGGACCAACAGACTAAGGAACTCTTTTGTCCCTCAAGAGATACGACTGCACACCTCCTCTCTGGGGGGGTGGGGGTGGAAGGGTGCAACAAGTCTACAGCGCAATAACTATTGTACAATGTGTGTAATACGCCCCCCACACACACACACTCTTTCTTTCTTTTTCTTTTCTCCATCCTTTGACTTTTCTGTTTTTGACCTTTTTTTTTAGTTTTTGTCTTTGACTTTTTTATGCTGATGTATAATGTGCAATATCTACCATTGACTGTTATATTATTTCCCTTACCTTGAGTCTGTACTGATGCTGCTATAGAAAAGTAATTTCCCTGAGGGACCCCTTCCAAGGGATCAATAAAGTTCCGTTCTAATCTAATCTAATCTAATCTAATCGAATCTAATCGAATCTAATCTAATGTGCCTGTGACAACGACGTTTTGTAAGAAATATGAATGCATTTTTGGAAAGATAACATTGATAACTTATTGCAAAAAAAACCATACTATTGAGATGAACAGTTGTAGATATTCGCATGTGACGAAACAGGAAGTGATGTCAAAGGGGAATGTCTGAATGTACACAGAGCGTTACTACAATAACTAACAACACAGACTGTAGAGAAGAATCTGAATGAAAATCACATCTTAACATGTTAAAATGTGATCAGCATAGAAATAAAAAATATGCCAGTTATGGGACAAAATTGATAAAATTGTGTATAATGTCAAGTTTCTTAAATATAAAGATGTTTTCTTTGAGTTTTTGTATTTGAAGGATATGCTTGTCACAGGCACTTTAATTCACTGTTTAGATTGACTTGGACACTCTGGTAGCTGCCTGATAACACTGTCTCTCCAGTTGTAACGATGCAAATTACAATAACATGTTAAAATGTGATCAGCMTAGAAAAAGCTGGCTCCTACCCGTCCTTCTTGTAGAACTCCAGCATCATGTTGTCAGTAGCGACGCTCAGCGGTCGCCGGCTCTGGTCGCTCTGCTTGCGATCCATCTGATCCATGTCTGGAGACGGCATGGAGCTGTAGTTGGCGTTGTGGTTGGTGTGGACGGGGCTGCCRTAGTTTCCTGTGATGTTGAACTCGATTTCTGAGACAGAAGACATTTCCGGTTCTTAATTTTCATTCTGTATTTGCTGTGAAGTAAAAGCGAAGGTTTAGGATTTCTCTCTCCTCACCTCCTGGGAAGAACCAGTCGGCGTGCTGGATGACGGGTTCGATGATGCCGACGATCTGCAGGGAAACCGTCGTCATCATCTCTGTGATGTTGCTGCGGCAAACAGACAGGAAATAAACGACGGGATGAGGAGTAGAGAAAAAAGTTTTACACTCTGAACATCATTACCACTTTTCATTATCAGAAGCAATAAACTGAGAAAATTAAAACCATTTTGGATAAATGGGCTATTAAAATACTAATTAAAAGTTATGGAGTGATGAAGAGTTTGTCGAGATATAAGAAGTGTCCTTCATCCTGTCAGTCTGTTTTATACGCTTTGTTTCTTGGAGGCATGTTAAATTCTTGTGACTGCAGGACTCTGTATTTAATTTAGTAGCTGATGTTTTGCGTTGAAGAATACGAAGGAAAAGAAAATCAGAGATGAAAGGATCCCAGCAGACGGTCGTTTCTGTTTGAACTTATGCACGAAAAATCAAATTCGGTGCCAAAAAAAAGGCAGCTGAATAAAASAGCAAAATTTATGGTAATAATACAGAAAAGATACACAAGCAGATTTGAAGATTCTTTATCATTTATTTTTTCACTCATTTAAATTCATCTGACGCTTAAATAAAAAACACCTTTTTAAAATTTGAACTGAGTCAGAACTAGATGGATTTTATCTCATCATTATTGCTCCTTGTGGTTTTAAGATTCTCATTTTTTGAGAACAGATGGGTTCAGCTCCTGAAGTCGTAACCAAATATTTTAGCTGTGGTTTTAAGCTAGAAGCTAAAAAATGAAACAATCCACATGGGTTGAGGGCGAGCCTTTGGTTGGAGGAGAGCTTCTCCACGTTGAAAGGAGTCAGCTGAGGTGGTTAAGGATGATTACCATGCTTCTGAAAGAAAATATTGTTATGTGTGTTCGTTACCAAGATGTGTGCACAAACCATACGGAGAATGTACAAATGCATGGACGAGATTATTAAAGAGGAACCATACAAAACCAAAGAGCGCTCTTTGCTGAAGTCTGGTTTAATCAAGCGACTGAGAGTTCAGACCGAAAATCAGGAAGTACAATTGGTTTTAACAAAAGCTCCGAGGCATGGCTCCGCCTATTTGATTACGCCATCAGCAAGGGGAGTCCCTAAACTTCTCGAAGCCATGCCTCCAGACAATATAACCTGTATCAATGTATCTTTTTGAGTACTGGAGCATCTTAGGGTTCTCCAAGAGGAGCTGTAGTATTACTGGGAAAAGAGAGGTCTGAGTTTTCTTCATCTACCTGTCAGTTGATCATAAGTGGATGGATGGATGATGGATGGATGGAAGGATGGATGGATGATGAATAATGGATGGGTGGATAGATGATAAATGGATGGATATAATTTCGGTCGAGTTAAAAGCTTCAAGCGAAGTTGTTTTCTTACAGTTTTAATAATGTTTTTATCAAACTCAGATCACAAAAATAAAAACAGCCACTCTGACGCTCCTCATCTAAGAACTCATTATCCAGTTATTTAACCTTTAAATTTAAATTCATTGGTTTAATTGTCATAAATCTCTCTCACCCTTCACTGTGAGTCCAGAGCAGGTTTGGGCCGAGGACAATCGCGATGTTTCCAGGAGTCATCTTGTTCACATCCTGGTATTCAGTCAGTTTGGACAGAAATTTGATCAAATACCTGTTAATTTAAAAAATAATTCAACATATTATAGCAGGACGGTGATAGAACATTTAAAGCAGCTAAAAGCCTGGGCTTTATATCTAAATGACTTTTATGACTCACTTAAAGTTGTGGTTGTTGGCTGGAGGTAACTTCTCACAGGCTCCCATCAGAGCCTGAAGCCTCTTCTCCTGGTCCTGGATGCTGCAGGACAGAAACGACTCGTTTGGACAGGAAGAAGATAAAACGCTTTAAACACAACCTTGTTCCRTGAGGATACACACTTGGAGGCTTGGATCCAGTCACTGTAGAGTTCAAAGGTCATTAATGGCTCAGGTAGTTCACGCAGGTACGACTTCAAGGCGCCTGAAAGAGAAGAAAATGCGTTTCGACTGAGTGTTGTAATGTTGAAGAGGAAGACATCCATCAGATGAAACACGCAAAACAAATAATTTATTGAAAAACAAAACGGGGGAAAAAAATCTTTCCAGAGACAGAACACTGTTTCAGTCAGACCTCAGCTGTAATTATTTCCTCACGTTTCTGTCGGTTACTTCCTGAAGTGGCAGTTTTGAAATGCCGTCTGCAGCCTTTAATTCTTGTTTCTTTGCTCTCCTCTGGCTCTCAAATCTTTGTGCCAGTTTTCATGAACGTCTCCCCAGGGAGAGAAAATATCCACTATTAACGTCAAATCTAAAAATGTTCCAGTGAACATCACCTCAAAAGGCCTCATTAATCTGTATTCACTGCTGTTTTGCTGCAGATGCATGGTTTTAAATGGTTACAGAAACACAAAATGTTATATTATTGCTTATTTTATTTGACTTTTGAGTGGTTTCAGCTTGAAATGTTTCTAAAACATAAACTTTACAAACCTAGAGAAAAAAATTGTTTTCATTAATGAAACAAATGTCCAAATAAATACAGTAAAACTGACTGAAACCAAACATTTCTCAGGTGTTTGACCACTTAAAATTTTTAAAATTCCTTGAAGGAATGTGATAAAAAAATAAACAGTTTGACAATTTAATTAAAATATATTGATGTAAAGTTAAATCTATATCTCTGAGCTTGTGTTCCTCCTGATTTATGTGTTTCTTTTCTCCTGACAGCAGCTGCTGCAGAGAGAAACGCTGTCATAAAAAAAGATCAATAACGGCACCTTAAAAGCCTGAAASCTTTTTCTTCTTCTTCTGTCGTCCATCACGGTTTGGATTTAGAAGCGACAGAAACGAAAAGAGAACATGCCTTTATTTTCTCGCAGCCCTTTTGGAAAAMGAGGACTCTGATTGGTATTGCTCTGGTAAATTTGGAATTTATCACCAGGGATTTTAGTTTTTATTAATTTACTTTGTAAAAACAGCAGAAAGGAGAAAAAAAGTAAACGGCTTTCAAATTAACATTTACACACTAATTCATGGGATAAATCTTGTGCCAGCAGGAATTGAAAATAAATTTCACTAAATTGAAACAGAATTTAATGGTTTGAAACTAAATTTAAAGTTTTGTATCTGAATTAATTTGCTTTGAAACTGAATTTTGGTTTATTAAAAATTCAGTATGAAAACTTTAACTTTCAGTTCCATAATTCAATTTCAGTTCTATAATTCAGATTTTTGTGTCAGACATCACTTCAGGGATCGCATATTGATCAGATGCTGCTGCTGACTGATCAATGACAGGATGTAAATGTAACATTTTCTACATATAGGTAAAATTAACCACTGCAATAAAATAACTGTTTTTTTGTCACTTTTACAGTGGATTGCATCAACTCTGTTACATACAGAAGGGAAACTTCACCGAAGTGAAACATAAATCTGTGGATCTGTGTTTGATTACTCTGGCTGGCCTTCTCAAGGACCAGGATGTGTGACACAAAAATCTGAATTTTGAGATTTATCTCATACTAATTTGAAGCTAACGAGCRACAGCAAAGGAGCAAAACTCCAATYGGCAGCAGCGAGGAGAGTTGTAACGGGTTGTCACAATGACAGCAGTTCCAGGTACATGAACGCAGCATTGTCGACTCACCTGCGATGGCGTGCGGGTCTGCAGAAAACTCCTGAACGTCCAACACACCGCAGTCCAATGATGCCTTTAGCTTCTTCAATTTGGAGGCCGAAGGAGCGATTCTGAATAAACCCTGAAACCAAAAACCATCTCCATTAGGTAAATCTCCCCCCGATGCCGTCGTTTGGAAAAACATGTAAACAAAAACCGTTTCATAAAGTTTAAAGCAGCAGCTGCGCAGTTTATTTACTTTCCACGACTAATCACTAAATTGGGGCGTTTCCTTCCATTAAACAATAATTAAACAGTCAATAATTATTGGTTCCAGGCTGTAAAACGTTTCAGTGTGAACCTCGTTAAGACTTCCCTGCAGTAATTAAGACTAAATATTCACTCTGCTATAAATGTGCTTCCTGTGTCGGTGCTTTAGGAGCGGCGAGCATTTACCTCCTCCTGCATGCCGCACTCCAGCAGCATGGTGACACACGCCTCGATGGGGAAGGCAATATCTCTCCCGCTGAGTGCTAAGTGCTCCTCTAATGGCTTCCCGTAACACGGTTTCTCCACCCAGGTCTCTGTGAAGCACGCACACACACACACTGTTACACACCCACAAACATGATCCTGCTATCATTCAATAAATAAAAATCAGAAAGTCTGTTTTTTCCTTTCAGCTGCTCCCTACTCTCACTGCACATGCTGTCTGTCAGATCCCAGATTTAACCCCGCCCCCACCTTCAACTCATCCGTCACCTGAAACAAACCTCTCCTTCCAGTGATTTTGACTTTAAAAAGAAAATATTGAGGTTAAAACTCAGAACGTTGGGCTCACCCTGCTGAGCTTTGATCTGAGGCAGAATGCTTTGCAGCAGCTCTAATGATCTCCTGTGGTACTCGGCCTGGACTTCTATCAGCTGGACAGACAGAATCAGAACCAACGGGTCAGCGGAGAGTTTTTGTTTGTCTCTTCACTTCTAACCCTCGGCCAACAGCCATGCTGCACTTACTGTCTGGAAGTAGCTTGCATAGTCRATTTCTTTGGCCACAAAACTGTACATGTCTGCGGATAACTGGTCCTGGAGGGAAATAAAAACATACTTTCAAAATRTTTTACATAAGCTGGACAGTGTAGAACTGCAGGTGTATTTAATCACAGTTATTGTGCCTCTAATGTAACGTCTAAAACCAGTAAAGACATCCAGTTTGAGCTGAGTTTCTGACTTTTAGCTCAGTTTTTCAGGAAACGGGTCATCCTCCAGGGATAAATAACTTTGTCTGACGTTATGGTTATTTACAGTGATGTTGACTGACTCGACAGATCTCCATGCGGTTGGCTGCCTCCTCCATCTCCTCCCTGAGGTGGTCGGCCTTAGCTCCCGTCGGCTGCAGATTGCTCGACATTCCCGAGGATTTGGTGGACTGGTAGTACCTGCGAACGCCAAACAGTCCATCAGAGCCCACCCTCTTCTTTTGGTCTGATAGTCTGAATCGCTGCCAGCAGAGTTCAGCTCACAGCAGGATGATGGCAGAGAAGATTACTTCATATTTGGGTCACTAAAAATACTGACAGAGCCAACTGCAGCGAGGAACATGACTTCCTGCATGTTTCTGCTTTAATAAACTCGTTTAAAGAGGTTCTGCAAAGAGGATATGAACAAACAATATCTTACCTTTTGCAGATAAATCTGTGACTACAGAGCTAACGGCTACTCTGAGAAAGTCCAAAACAGGTCGCAGACGGCTTTAAACAACTCAGATTTTAGTGCAGTTCATACAACACTATTTGGCAGAACTGTTAAAATGTAGCTACTGCTAGCTGCTGCTGCTATCTGCACTTTAAAATAACCACAGAATAACCATAGAATTCTAAACAACAAAAATAAACACAGCCAGAGTTTTTCACACACTGACTGCAGCTTCATGATGTCAAATCAAACCTTCAGGAGTTTCTCGGTGACACACAAACACACTCACCTTGTGCGTGCAGAGTCCATATCCAGGACCAGTTTTGCTAAATGTTTCCTTTGTTTCTGGATGTTTGGGATTTCTACCTGAAAAACAAAGGAAACCGTTAAACTCAGGCGTGTTTCTTGGTGTGAAGCAAGATGAATTGTTTCTGAGCAACTAGCGTTAGCAGCGGTGGGCAGCGCTAATCCAAGTGCTTATGAAAATATTTAGGTCAACAACTTCAAAACACTTATGTCTTAGAAAAGCTAGCGGAAGCTAATTTTAAAGCGCAAGTTCAATTTGACACTTACTAGCTGGCAGCAATGCACAACACTACCAACTAGCTGTGTATGAATTCTTTTACAACTTAATTCTACAACCGCCGATTGCTGGGGATGTGATTTCCTGAAACAGACCTTTAGCTTCTGGTGTAAAAATTAAAAAGTTGTTGAGGATTGCTAGTTCGGCTGATTCTTTAAAAAGTTGTTGAGGATTGCTAGTTCGGCTGATTCTTTAAAAAGTTGTTGAGGATTGCTAGTTCGGCTGATTTTTTAAAAAGTTGTTGAGGATTGCTAGTTTGGCTGCTTCTTTAAAAGTTGTTGAGGATTGCTAGTTCGGCTGATTTTTTAAAAAGTTGTTGAGGATTGCTAGTTTGGCTGCTTCTTTGACTTTTTCTTTTGTTTGTTGTAGATTTTTCATTAAAGAAGTATCAATAAAGTAATTTTAAAACTGTTTATTGGAAAACTGAAGCGATGCATTCTGGGTACATGACGGATTTGATTTGTGACGGGAAATGAAAAAACAGAGTACAGGAAACTATCTTCCCTTCAAAATAAGAGCTTGGATTTTAAAGTTTTCCATGTAGTTGCTCCAGTTGACCACTAGATGTCTGTGTTCGTCAGCATAACATCTTTAAATCATTTCTGAGTCTCTAACCCTGTTGGCCGATTGCTTCGACCAATTATGTCAAGTATTGAGCTCCAGCGTTTAAACTTTTTTTTTTTTAAAAAAGGAGCTCAGATTGTAAAGTAAAATAAATCAATACATACAAAATTTTAGTATGGATTACAAACATTAACTGTTTTTGCTATTGCCTTCCTGCTACATAAGCAGACACAAAGCATTGTGGGAAATCAGAACCGTGACTGAAAGCAACAGTCAGCAAGGATGTATACCTTCTCAATAATTGTTTATCTGGGAGGGGTCCTGTTGGATAGATCATGGATGTGATTCATTGACAGCCACACCTTCCGCTGTTCAAGATAATGATGACTGGTAGATAATTAGTTATTAGCGATTCTGCATTTTAATTTTAGAAAGCGCAAATCCGCTTATGAATTATAAAAATTAGTAAGACCTAAAGCGCAAACGAAATATTTAGGTCCGCAATTAGCGGATTTGCGCTTTAGTGGGCTGGTGCCCACCACTGAGCGTTAGTTTCAACAGGTGTCATTTGAGCTTCTTTTTGCGTTTGCATCAACGTGGAATCAAAAGCATCTGTTCTTTACCTCGGCGAGTTCGGATAATGGATCGATCACATCCTTCTCGATGATGAGCTCGAAAGAGACGAGCTCCTGAGCGAGTTGTTCCTGCGTCTCGCCGCAGAGCTTCAGCATCTTCCTGCAACAACAAACAGTCGCTTAAACTTTAAATCTTTAAAAACTGGTGCCGTGCGAGCCGACGCCGTGAGGCGGCAATGGCTGTAGCGTGGCTCTCTCACCCCAGCAGAGACTCGTCCCCGAGCACRGCGGCCCCCTCCACCATGCATTGTGCGAGCGTTGTGAGAGGGAGCTTTTTCTGCACAGAAACAAGCAGAAACAGTCAGACTGAAAACTGGGAATAAGACGAGAGAGAAACTGCATTTCTTCAAACTGAGCACAATCAAAGATATAAGATATTAAATGTTAGTATTTCCACAGAAACCCACTTCAAACTATCTGAACAGTCATTTTAGGATTAAAAATTAAAAAACAGGCTAAACTCACCGAGGGCGACCTAACGGACTTCTTGTCCACGTCGACACCCTGTTGTCCCTGCAGACAGGCTGTCAGCTTCTTGTGTGTGCTGTGGGATACTTGCTTCACCAGCTCTAATCGCCTCTCCACCTGAAAACACACACAACATCTGAAACATCTGATTTTGACACACAAACAATTTATGAACCGAACACCGGTCGCCTCTCAGCTCATCATTAAACCAACTCTGTGGAAACGAGGTCGCCGCCTCTGTGGGCGTCATTAATCTGATCAATTAGGACACCGCGCCCAGGATCAATCAGCGGGGACGCTCAGCCTTTTGTCTCGAAGAAAAGTTCAATTTCAGCGCTCGTTAAAGATGCCTGAAGGCAGCTCAGAGACACAGCTGGAAAAACTCATTTTATGCAGACTGAATACTTTGCACACGCACGCACACACACACACACACACACACACACACACACACACACACACACACACA